TTCCAACAATAAATAAACCAACCAGAATAACTAAGAAATCTTCTACTTTACTTGATAATATAATCAAAACAGACTTATCAGATCATTTTCCTACTTTTTTAATAACTAATAATATAACAATTAATAATAATTCTTCTAAATTTATAATATACAGGCAGCAGATCAATAAATACTCCTTACAAAAATTTCAACACCTTTTAAAATATAACGTTGATTGGGATCTTATAATGCAATCGGTAGAGGTAAATAATGCCTATGAACTATTTCTTAAATTTTTTTGTGAGCAATATGAAAAAGCTTTTCCGGAGAAAAAAATTGTTATAAATACCAAGTCATATCAAGCTCAATGGATGTCTAAAGGCTTATTAAAATTTTCAAAGAAAAAAAAAAAGTTGTATGAAAAATTCTTAAAAAAAAAAAACGTATAAAAATGAAACAAACTACCAACTTTATAAAAATATATTTGAAAAAACTAAACAACAAAAAAAATTTACTTTTCAAAGTTGTTAAAAAAAACTAGCGGAAATGCCAAAAGTACGTGGAGCGTAATTAAAGAAATTATTGGCAGAAAAAATAATGGATTAAATATTCAACCAAAGAAACTCTTAGTAGATGGTAAAATTATATATGACAAGTCAATAGTAGCTGAAAATCTAAACAGCTTCTTTCTTAATATTGGTCCAAACTTAGCTGAAAAAATTCCTTCAGGCTCATCATCGTTTGATTCTTATTTAAAAATATATGATATGGGCGAATCTAAACGAGATATTAATGAGTTACGATATGCTCTAGATAATCTTAAAAACAACACAAGTGTAGGTTTTGATAATATTAGCATAAATGTTGTTAAATCAGTTTTTCATATTATAGAAACTCCTTTATATCACATTTTTAATCTTTCTCTTTAATCTGGAAGAGTTCCAGAAAAATTAAAAATTGCACGGGCCTTGCCTATTTTTAAGTCTGGTGATGACACAGATTCTTCAAATTATAGACCAATATCAGTTTTACCATGCTTTTCTAAGTTACTCGAGCGTATAATGTATAATAGGCTGAACAGCTATTTAACAGTAAATAACATGTTGTACAACAAGCAATTTGGCTTTAAAAAAAAATCATTCAACTGATCACGCTTTGACCGAGTTAGTAACTCATGTAACCAATGCCTTTAATGATGACCGTTTTACATTAGGAGTATTTATTGATCTGTCTAAAGCCTTTGACACAGTCAACCATGTCATTCTTTTAAAAACTTGAACATTATGGAATAAAAAACAATAATTTACTATGGTTTAAAGATTACTTATCAAACAGACAGCAATACATTCAATATGAAAATGTTAAAACGACAAAAAGTATAATAAAATGTGGAGTTACTCAAGGCTCAATCTTAGGACCGTTACTGTTTTCTCTTTATATAAATGATCTATCTCTTACCTCGAACATACTAAACTTTATTTTGTTTGCTGATGACTCCAATCTGTTTTATTCTCATAGGGATATTAAAACCCTCTTTAAAGTAGTTAATGAAGAAGTAAACAAAGTAAATGAATGGTTTATTTGTAATAAACTTTTACTTAACGCTAACAAAACTAAATTTATTCTATTTCACAAACCAACCAAAACAGGAAACCTTCCTTTAAAATTACCCAACTTTAAAATCAATAATATAAATATTACTAGGCAAACAACTGTAAACTTTTTAGGTATTATTTTAGACGAAAATTTAACATGGAGGAAACATATAAACACTCTTGAAAGAAAACTTTCAATAAACATTGCAATGATGTATAAAGCAAAATCATTTTTGGATATAAGATCTCTTAAAAGTTTATATTTTTCCTTCATACATAGCTATCTAACTTACGGCAATATCGTATGGGCAAGCAACAGCTACGCTAAGTTAAAGAAAATTTATACTAAACAAAAACATGCATGTAGAATTGTATTTGAAGTAAAAAGAACTGTGCCTTGTGAGCCACTTTTACGTAAACTCAATGCATTAAATGTGTTTAAAATTAACATAATCATCGTCATACAGTTCATGTATCAAATAAAACATGGGCTGTATCCAGCGATATTCTATCCTTATTTTAGAGAAGTAAGCCATAAATACCCCGCCAAGTTCTCAGAAAATTACTTTGTAACTCAAAAGTATAATCTAAAGTTATGTTCTTATTCTATTCAGTACAGGGGTCCAATTTTGTGGAAACACTTTCAGCATATTGTTAATATTAAAGAAAAAACACTTCCGCAATTCCAATCTAAATTAAGACGTTATTTAGCACTTACGGATTTTAATATAGCAAATCTTCTATGTCACTTTTAAAGCTTTAAAATTTATTAAACTAAATTAGCACCATAAATTTAAAAATCTAGACCATTTAACAGTACTAAGAATTTCAATGTCTTTATCATACTTTCATTGAATATATATATTCTCTTAAAGTTACCTACAATTTTCTTGATATATTTTATAATATTGGAACAGAATTTTTATTTGAATTTTGAATTATTTTGAAAGAAAATAATATATACAAATATATATGTCGAATCACATCCAATTTATAACCAAAAACAGAAAATTTTTGTCATTTTTATTACTATATTTTAATTATTTCTTTTTAACTTTGTTTCTTAACATTTTAAATTGTCTTTTTTTAAATACTTTTGCTTATATATTACGGATTATTGTGTATTACGGATATTTATTTGCGTTAATATTGGGGCTCGGTGATAAGGCTATTTTATGCCTTCTTCTTGCTCCAGCCAATTGTACTTTTTATATTGTTGTACTTTGTAAATATTTTTAACGGCGAAATAAACTAATAAACTAAACTAAACTAAAAAAATACAATACAAAAGTTTTAAGATTGTGTAACAATGTATTGTTAGAACAAAAACAATACATTATTGTTACTGTTTTTCATCACAGGAATTCAATAACAATAAATAATGTTTTAATTACATCTCTGTTATTACAATCAGGGCCGTCCCGAAAGAGAGGTCCTTCCCCCCCCCCTCCCTAAAGCTGTCATATAAGCACTTGCGTTGGCACATTGAGCAAGTTTTGAACTATAGTTGGCAAATATTGAGGAAAATTTAAATCGTTTTCAATTTTAATATTGTGACACATGTTTCTGTGAAGCAAATAACTTTAAACTCCTTTTTTCTACTGGGTAAAAAAAGTTTAAATTTCACAAGATTTTTTTTGAATGCTTAATAATTAAATGTAGGATAGAGAATGCGTCTATACCTATTTCAGGATTTAAAGTATTTGAAAAAAATATATTTTTTTGAAAACTATTTATTCTTTAACTATTTATATATAAATTTAAATATAGTGAGAAAGTGCAAGTGCTGTATACGGACATCAGCAATCCGCTGCACAGTGGGGCATAATAGTTTTAAAACTGGACAAAATTATTTTTTTTGTTTTGTTTTGGACTTTTAAGTTGAATGATTATTTTAAGGGAACTTGTTAGAATTAGGAAAACATACTCCATAGATTTTTAAACATTTATTTACAATTGTCAAACGTTTTTAATGTATTTTTGAAAAATTTCGAGTAAAGAATTTTTAAAAAACCGTTAAGTGATAATAGAAAAAAGAAAAAAATCAAAAGTTTGCATGAATAAATAACATTAAAATGTATTCTGACCGATTCACTAAAATAAATTACAGTTGTTGAAATTTAATGTAAAAAGTCACTCAAAAAAATAATAACTCGAAAACTCGATTAGTTTTATTCGATTACATTTGCTCAAAAAAAATCTTACAAGACCTGGTTTTGTTACCTGGTTTCCACTAATTTTTACAAAAGGGTTCAATTAAGTGCAAAAAAAAAAGAAAGTTTTACAATCTACAATCATCAGCAATTTCATTAAAAACAATTTGAAGCTGTATTTAAGTGAGGACATAAACAAAAAGCGCTTGGTTTGAAAAAATTAAATAAAAATAAAATATTTTAAATACACTTTTTAAAAAACCTTAATGTGTATTTTAAGCACTTTAAAACTATTTTTCATTAGCAAAAAATAGCGGCAAACTGAAATTGAAGAATCCCTAAAAAATTTGGAGCTTTAAATAAACTTCAGCTTTCACACTATAAAAACAAAATAGTATTAATAACTCGCGCAAGCGAGTTATTTTTTAAACAAAAGAATTGAGCTAAATTGTAGGTTTTACAGAGTTAAAGGTCAATCCTACCCTAAAAAAAATACGTGGATAAGATGGACCAGAGACTCTTTTATATATTACCACCAAAAATGTTTCATAACGCCTTTTTTCATTTTCGTTAAGTGTCCAGTTTTGAAGCAATTCTGCCTGATTGTGCGCTGTTTGAATTTAAGAAAAAAAAATAAAGAATACCCCAAGGATTCTTGGGGTATTCTCTAAAGTCGTTCTGTTTCTAGTTTTCCGGGTAATTATCTTTTATATTTTTTTCTCAAATTCAAACAGCGGACTGCCGGTGTCCGCGGATGCTCCTAGGAGCATCTGCGCTTCTGTAAAAGTAATAAAAAGGTTGTTAGAAGATTCAAATGAAATCAAAAAAAAAAAAAAAAAAAAAAACAATCGCCGAGATAACTTTTCTACAACAACTGACACCGAGTAGAAAAAAAAACTCTGCGATAAAGCTCAAACTTTACTAGCAAGTCGATGTAAAAAATTAAAGCATTTACGTATAATCATTAAAGTCTTAAATGGAATCACTATCACTAGAGTCTTATCACTTATCACTAGAGTCTCTTTATGTTAATAACTACAAGCTTGTTGTTTATGATTAAGAACATATTCTTACAAACATTTCATTCTGATTGAACTTCCATTATATTGATTTTTTTATTGTATAGTAGAGTAAGGGAATTCTAACGCTGCTACTGATAATTGTAAATTTACTTTTTAAAATATTCTTGTTTTTACATACGAAAATAAACTATTTAATTAATTGATATTTTTTACATAAATATTGTATAAATAATGTATAAGAAACATAAATATTAACGTCTTAAAATTTTTTTTGTTCATAAATTGATCATAATTGTTTATTTTAACTTATACAAACATGGACCCGTCTACATCTGAACTATAATTGGCTTGTACAATTTTTATAACGGAAGGATAGGCGCTATCCCATAAATTATTAGCTAGAAAAGCGGCAAAAAGTTCATCACCAACATTCCAAAATACCATATCCTTGATACTATTATAGCCTTGCACTGGAATGGTGAATTCAACATTCCATTTCGCGAAACCGTTATGCTGAAAAATAGAATTTAAAAAAATTTCACTTTGATTACTTTAATTAAAATTTTCAATTTAATCAAAATATAAAGTTTTATTAGCAAATTATATTAGAGAATCTATATCATAAACTTTTGTATATTTAGGCACATAAAATAACAATATAAATAAAGCATTTTGTAAACATTTATAAAACATTTACAAAAAAGAAAAAGAAAAATTAGCTAGTACGATGCTGTTTTTGATTTTTTATAACTAATTATAAAACTCATATAGAATTATAAAAAACAAGTAGCCAAAACATATAATGGTAAAAAAAAAATCATAAAATATTACTTTTAGTATAACAATTTGTTGATTAAACGAAGCAACAGCAAGATAACTGTAAACACCAGATTCAAAATACCGCAACTTCATTGCTCCGGCGACGTATATGTTTTGATAAAAAGCGTATAGCCCGTTAGATGATAATCTAATTTCAATTTAGAAATAACAAAAAGTATCAAACAGTTACTACAAATTGTATGTAAAATATTTTGTAAAAAAAGATTAAAGGGTGTTCAATAAAAATCTGTAACAAACAAATAAAAATTACTTTTTAAGCTGATATATTTATATAAAAATTAAATTCCTCTATTAATTTCACTTATACATTTTTTCTACTAGCAGTTTTATTGATTGAAAGACGAGTTTTATAGACCTTTTAGAATGTTTTTAATTAACTGCAAATAAAGTTAAATTTCAGATTTTTATGTTATAGAAACTTTTAATATCTTAAAATTCAAATTTTTACTTTTTAAAATTGAAGCAGCAAAAAGAAATCTTAGTATTTTAACTTTTTATAAAAATGTTATGAAAAGTCTTAAAGAAAAAGTCAAAAACATTTTTTTTATAAAATATTATGAAAATAAAATATTATGAAAATAAAATATTATAAAAATAAAATATTATGAAAATAAAATATTATGAAAATAAAATATTATGAAAATAAAATATTATGAAAATAAAATATTATAAAAATAAAATATTATGAAAATAAAATATTATGAAAAAAAGCAATATTATGAAAATAAAATATTATGAAAATAAAATATTATGAAAATAAAATATTATGAAAATAAGCAATATTTTGGAGATTTAACTTTTTTCGTAAAAATTTCATAAAAACTACATCGAGCAGGGCCGACAACACAGGAGGAAGGGGAAGGCCCTGCTCAATTGTGCCCTTCCACTTTGACACCCGTATCGTCGGCCATGTCGAGTAATTAGCAAACCAGTAATGAGTTGTTGATAATTTGGGTAATTAGCAATAATGATAAAAATATAAATAATTATCTAGTCTGTTATTGCACACCAACACTCACAAATAATATCTTATCACTGTTATAAACTACTACACACAAAAAAAAAAATATAATTACACTTATCACAAAAAAAAAAGTTTTAAATACATAGATGCTGTTTAAACTTAAAAAGATAATCAGAAAAAAAAAGTTTAAATACATAGATACTGTTTAAACTGAAAATATAATCAGAAAAAAAAGTAAAACAATATTTTACTTATTTAAAAAGTATTTTAATATAAAATATTAAAACGGAATTTAGTTTGCTGACAAAAATAATTTTTCAAAACATTTTAGAATAACATTGTTTATACAAGTCGAGTAATGTATGTAACTAAATACTGTTTTATTGTTATAAACTGTATAGCTTATATATAAATAATTAGTTTTGATTATCTTATTAAATGTGGCTTAAACTATTTGAATAATTATTGCATAATTTATGTTATTAAATATAAAACTTTTATTATCTAAGAAATAAACTTACTTTAACACTGTAACAGGAACAGTATATGACATTTCTATAGCAGAGCTACTTGAGTCATAGCTGTTAGCAATAGCAATGAAATCACCCTCAGATGTTGTAAATTGGATAACATCTTCCGCATAATCAGTAGAAATATTTTGTCTTAAAATAAAACTAGAATCTTCAAAAATATCATAAATTGCTAAACTTCCACCATACAAACTTTCACTTAGAATAGCAACAGTATAGATTGTGTTAGAAGATAAAATAATAGATTTGACAGCATTGCAACTAGGTATTGATATTGTAATGCTTTCATTAACAAAAAATTGTTGACCTACACAGGGAGACATAGTTGATGTATTGTAAGAACTGGTTGAAAGCATTGTGAAACTTCCATTAGATATGCTAATATCAAAATTAGTTGAGGGATACATTCCAAATGTATTTTCTAACTTTGCATTTTTTGATGTTAATGTGTAAAACCTATTAAAGTAAGAGGTCTGCAAACATTTATCAGGTTTATTTGAAGATGTAAACATTAAAGAACCTTCATTGGAATTGACTATATAAATATCGGTTATTGCATTTGTCAATATCTATTAATAAAAAAACATTTTTTTTATTAGTATCGTTCTTATTGAGGTATTACAGAAAAAAAATCAAAAATATATAAAAAATAATATTATATAAGTAATTTAAAAAAGTATAATTAATAAATAAAAAGTATTTTTAATATAAAAGTATTTAAAAAAATATACTTATATTAAAAAATTATAATTATACTTTTAAATAATACATAGATTTTGAAATCCAATTGATTAATATCCAATTTATGAGTAATATAATGAGATATCAAGACTCAAGAAATACATATAACTAACGTGATAAAATAGCTTAAATGTCAATAAGATAAAGAATTCAATTCCCTCATACTCACACAACTCCACAATATAAGAATTTAACTCCACAATATAACAATTCAACTCCACAATATAACAATTCAACTCCACAATATAATAATTTAAGTGATTTACAAAGTATTACTAAGTTCAATATACATAAGTACAGACAATTGTTATGCACCTATATAGCATGTCAGCAATAAAGCGCTTGTTGTTGGTGAATATCACCACCAGCAACAAACCACCTGTTGTTGGTGAATGTCCTAATATAACGATGATCATGACAATTTTAACAAATACCCCTTTTTCCTAATACCATTTTACCAATACAATTTTCAGTATTATGTAATGAGAAAATGGTCCAAATGAATGTTTTTACTCTTTAATTCTAAATACAAAAATAATCTAATGAAATTCCCATAATTAATTTTGGAAGCATTATCAATTTATAAAATAAAATAAACTCATGTGGAAAAACACATTTTATACTAAGACCACCCTAACAATTTTCTTGTTAACCTTCACATTCTTATTAGTCATGTTTTCATGAATTTCTTTAAAAAATTCAAAGTCCTTTAATTAATATAATATGATTTTTTTTTTTAATATTTATCTGGAAAAAAAAATCAGATATAATATATGAATGTACTTAATATAAAACAATTAATGTTTTAATATAATTGATAATTTTATTATATTGTATAATTTTATTATAGTTTATCAAAGGAGGATTAGTTATTAAAATAATAAATATCAAAAACTCATACTAACATTAAATTTTTATTTGCAATTAAGAACTAAAATCAGCCATTAAACAGTCAAAATGGCTGCTAAGTGTTTAAATAGTCGGCTATATGCTGCTAAGTGTTTAAAATAGATGTTTAAAATTCAATTTGTTAATTTGCTCTAAGCAACCACAGAAGAGAGATCATATTCAAAGAAATCAAAAAGTGATGACTTTTAATAAGACTGAAAAATCATCAGCAATTACTTATGAGGTTTTCAAAAATATGATTAATGAAAATAAATAATAGATATTTTACAAATAAGGAAACACAAAAGACAATAGAAAAATTGGAATATTCTATGGAATATTCTGGTAAACTAGAGATTCACTGGAAATGTAGATGTGCTTTCTATCAAATACAACTTTAATATCGCAATAAGAAAGGAATGATTTTATAATAAAAAAAATTTTTTAAGCACACTTTACAAAAAGAACATATGGAGAAGACTTTAAATATAATTTACATTTTTTAAGCCAACTTGTTCAACTGTTTTCTTGTTATTCAACTCTTTTCTATTAAGTTTGTTGAAAAAAAAAGTTCTAATATCTGATTTGAAAAAAAATAAATAAAAAATAGTTATACACAAAACCTGATTCTTTAAATTTCAACATTACTATTTTCAATACAATAATGTACAAAATAAAAGTTAACAAATAATGTTTAACAGTTAATTAAAATAATTACAATAATAATAATAAATAAAATATACTAAACTAAATTATAATAAATAAATAAACTAAATTAAAATAACTATAATAACTAAGTTAATACACAGATTAAAAAATAAACTTTAAAAATGTCTTTACATTTAATTATTTCAATTATATTCAATCATATATCTAAGTTTACTTTATATATCTGAGGTTACTTTATATATCTTTTTATACTGTATCATAAACTTGTTCAATTTAAATTATTTGAAAGTTGGATTTAGTGCCTTACTTTCTTTCATTAAACTTTTGTCATAAATATCAAGTAAAATTTCTTAATTTTGTTTAATTTTGTTTAATTCTTAATATTGACTAAAAATGTTATAAAATGTTTTTTGTTTTAAAATTAATATATGCTCCTAATAATCTAAAATATAATTAACATGAACCAACCCTCAAAAAGCTTTATAATATAAATTTTTTGTTACAAGAGCTTTTATTACAATTTAAAGGTATCAATAAAAAATTGTTATATGTAAAATACCTCATATTTTTTTGAAAATTTCTTTGTTTCTTTTGACATTATAAATACACTGGAATTGATGCAAGTCTTTTGATCTACATCATTAAGTGCTCCTGCCACTAAATAAACATCACCATTCTCTACAAAAAATGCGATAGAAACAGACATATAGGCTAATCGAATTTGATCCAATTCTGTAAAATATTCCAAATTTTTTTGCACATTTTTAACAGAGCTAACTAGTTCTGAAGTCATAATTTGTTGGGAAATAATTGATTTGTTAAACATGTTTAAACTCACTTCAAGAAGAGCAATTTTATTATAACCACTAAAAAGATTGGTGATATTTATTCCGTTAATCAAGTTTGTTACCAAGTTACCTGACAAAATAAATTTTATTATTTATGATTTAAGCTGCATACTCAGTATATAATTGTTATAATAAAAAAACATATCCAATAAAAATCATTACAATAAATAAAATATAGGTTTAAAAAATTTCTTACACATACCCTGAATAGTGACATTGCCATGAAGGGTTTTACTTCCAATAATCTGATTCCTTCTTCCAGATAAAACTATTTCTTCATTCATTAACGAAAAGTTTAGCCCATTATTTAAATTTTGACTAATAATTTCTTTTTCAACAGAGATGTTTGTAAATACTTTTTTGCCACTAACTACTTGGTCTTGGTTCTGAACCATCAGGTTAATACTGTTGATTTCTACAGAATTAATTGTCGAAGTATTAAGGTTACTTGTAATTATAATATTTTCCTCAAACTCTACTTCTGAATTTATTGTTTCATTGCCATCTAAAGTAACAATGCTTTGAGCAAATTCAGAAAAATCAATACTGTTTATATTTTTAAACTTTTCTATATTGAAGTCACCATATACAAAAACATCATCTGCTATTATTTTGTAGCCATTTATAGTTTGGTTATGATTAAGCAAAACAAAATCTTCTGGAACCAAGAAACCATTGACTGAACGTGTTGTAACATTTACTGCATTTACATCTCCTATAAATTCAATGGAACCAGTAATTGTATGGTTGCCATATAAAGTCACTATTTCATCATTAAGCTGATTAATATTAATTCCATTTAAATTTCCTTGAAGGTTAAGGTTTTTGCATACTACACTTTCTTGAGACTTGATTGTTGTAAAATTTATAGAATTCTGAACTACTTTATTTGGTCCTAAGCATTTGTATACAGCATTTTCATTTAAAGAAACAATGTCAATGTTATCAAGCAATATACCTGCATAAACATTGTTCAAAAATATAGCATTACTAAAATGTGTTTTAACTGAAACATTTTGATCACTATTTTTTTTAAGTGTTGTTCTGTAGAGTTCAAAAATATTAATTCCATTCAGCAAACCCTGAATATTTAAGTCACCATATATGTTTACACTTTCAGTAAACTTCAGTTGACCAGTAATGTTTGCATCTTGATTTAAGTAAAGACCATTGTTGGCAAACTCACGTAGTATAACTCCATTTATAGTATTGGAAACATTCAAGCTATTAAATAAAACAGTATTTAAAAAAATCTTCGATCCAGTAATATTTGTCTGTTCATCTAAAAAGACAACTTCATTTTTAAAATCCAGATCATTAACTTCACCTGACATATTTCTAGATATCAACTGTTCTATTGTAATGTTTCCTGTAACAACTTGATCTCCAATAGACATTAAAGTGTCTCTGAATAATTCAGTCAGGTTACAATCATTGTATAAACCATTCAAAATTAAGTTACCAGTTAGAGAAATGTTTTTTAACATTAATTCTTTATCTAATGTCATATTATCATTAATATAAACTGCTTCATGAACAAAATTTTCAAGATTTACATTATCAACAAGACCTGACACAGTCATAATATTGTTCACATTAACTTCATTGTTGAAGGTCTAAATATAAATAACAATAAAAAGTAATTATAATTCTATTAGTTAAACCAAATTGAATATTAACTAGTTTTATAATTATCTTAACAATATAACATTACACAGCCTACACATTAGATTTTCATTAAAGTATTTGAACCCAGCAAATAACTTGTGTTTGCCACAAATTGTTTGCTGTTTGAGAAGTAAAAAGTCCTTACTGAATAACAAAAGTACTTGAGAATTGTGCCTAACATGTACTAGGAGTTACCAGTGTTATTTGAAACCCAACGTACTGGCTGGGTACTTTTATAAAAACTATTTGAAAGTTGTTTTGATTAGTTATTTAAAGTTATTAAATTAGAAATAGGTAAGATTTTAAATATTCTTTTTCTTGTTAAAACAGAAATCTATAGAAAAGCTTTTTTTTCAGCAAGAGATTAAACACAGAAGTAGTAGTAGTAGTAGTAGTAGTAGTAGTAGTAGTAGTAGTAGTAGTAGTAGTAGTAGTAGCATATATATATATATATATATATATATATATATATATATATATATATATATATATATATATATATATATATATATATATATATATATATATATATATATATATATATATATATATATATATATATATATATATATCCTTCCTGATGAACCTACTCATAGTGAAACATGCTGTTCAAAAAGCACAAAAATTACATATGTCATTTTACTAAATTATATATATATATATATATATATATATATATATATATATATATATATATATATATATATATATATATATATATATATATATATATATATATATATGTATATGCGGTATATATATGTATATATGCGGTATATATATATATATGTATATATATATGTATATATATATATATATATATATATATGCGGTATATATATGTATATATGCGGTATATATATATATATATATATGTATATATATATGTATATATATATATATATATATATATATATATATATATATATATATATATATATATATATATATATATATATATGCGGTAGTGGTGTAGTGGTAGAGCGCTCACTTCATAAACGCGTGGTTCCGAGTTCGATCCCCACCACGTCCCTGGTAGTACCACGCTCAACTCGTTTCTCCGCGCAGCGGCCTTGTTCGTCAAGGTTCGTGTTTCGGAGTTATAGAGTTGAGAGAGGGTTATAGCCACAAATAAGTAGCCTCCTCGTCTGTAGTGGCCTTCTCGGCCTTGAGGAGGTGAATCAAAATCAAAAATATATATATATATATATATAACAATAATAATAATAATAATAATATATAACAATAACATTAATAATAATTATTGTTACCTTGACTCCTGTAACAACTTGATTTCCACTAATTCTCATAGCATTTGCTGCAAGATCTGTAAGATTAACACCATCAATTAAACCATCTATTGTAAAATTTCCATTAAAAGAAACATGTGACTCAAATATTTTTGTGCCCTTAATAATTTGGCTGGCACTCAAGTTTACTAACTCTGAGTGAAGAAAAGTCAAGTTTACGCCATCAATAAAACCATCAACAATAATACTGCCAACATTCAAAGTGTCAATACTCGTTTCAGCTGTAAATGTTTTAGAACCATTTACTATTTGGTCAACTTCAGATAGAACTAAATTATTTGTGTAAACCCCATCAATAGTACCAGTGTTATCAACTGTTGAACTAAATGAAACTGTATCAATAAATGTTTTTATTCCTGTAACATCTTGCTCTCCAGACTTACGCAATGCATTTTTAAACAAATCAGAAATATTCACAAAATTTATTGTTTTAACTGTTGCATTACCTGCAACAGTAATGTTACTTAAAAAGTGGCTTAGACCTGATACAATTTGATCCTTTCCTTGAATCAGAAGATCATCAGGTAAATGTACACCATTAATATAGCCTTTAACAGTAGCATTTTTAGATATATTTAAATCGGTCACAAAGATAACACTGCCTTTTATAATTTGAGGACTACTACTATGGCGAACTGTATTAGAACTAATATTTTGTAGAATATTTAATAAAAGGCAGTCATATTCACATTGATTAAGTTGAATTGATGTTGCACTTAAAGTATCAAACTCCATATAACCTTTAACATTTTGTTCAACACCATTTAACATAGTGTTCTCAAAGGCTTCTGATATGTTGATGTTATCAACTAAACCATTTGATATTAAATCTCCCAATACTAAGATACCTGATTGAAATTCTTTTTTACCATTGATTGTCTGAACACCATTTGTTTTGAGAACATTACCTAAAGATAGCTTATAATATTTTATTGTATTAATAGCGCATTTTAATTTAGTAATTAAAAAAAATCTTACCGGATATATCAATTCCATTAACCTTCCCATCAACAACAATATTTTTTTGCAAATAAACATTTTCTAAAAATGATATTTTACCACTAACTGTAGATGGTAAGTAAGTATATAAAATGTCAGACAAATTTCTTCCATTTAATTTACCATGAAGATACACATTACCAAATGAAACATTATGATAAAATACAACTGTTTCAAGGTTCTCAAAATTTTTAACTGACTGACTGAATTTCCAGAGCTCCGATATATCAACACCATTAATTTCAGCTCCATCATTCATTATTAAATCGCCATTTATTTTGATTGCATCAAAGGTTTTTTGTGAAGTTATTAGTTGATCAACTTTATTTATAAAAAGTGTATCAGCAGCTACATTAGAAAGATCAATATTGTTTACATTACCTTGAACATTTATATCAGCGTAAAATGTTGTTATTCCATCTATTACATATGAGCTTGTAATTGTTTGATTTGATTGAGTGGTTAAAGCATTTGTCAAATTTATTCCATTAATTAAACCTTCCACTACTAAACCTGCATTTTCATCAGATGAAAATTCAATATCAACTAAAAAAGTTTTCTCACCATGAATTTCATCAGACCTGTCAATTGCTATTAGATCAGATGTAGATATATTATTGATAAATTTTGAATTTATATTGGAGTTTATTATAACATCATTTGCAAATAAAATATCATTCAGTAAAGTTGCATTCATATCAACAAATAGTAACTGGGAATTTTTTTCTGATAAATCAATGTTGTTGATTAATCCATTAATGTTAATATCATTTTCAACAGTTAATTTACTAACAGTAACAGTTGAAAAACTTTTTTGTCCAACTATTGTTTGATCAGTAGATTTTGTGACAACTTGATTTAAAAGAGTGTTAAGCGCTGTAATATTTTCTGATTGGATGTCAATAAGATTTTTTAAATCAACTTCCATGTTTAGAATAAGTTTATTTATGGGTGATAAAACAATGCTATCAACAGTGACAGTATCAAACAATACCCCAGAAATAAATGTCATGTTGGTAAATGTTTTAGAACCTAATAAAAAAATTTTTTTTTAATTAATTTTTTAACATTAAAAATTTTTTTTTTTAATTAAATATTGTTAGCATTTTTCTACTTGTATATAATCTGAATATATTTGCTGTATATATAATCTGAATATATTTGCTGTAATAATTTTTTTTTTGTGTTCTTATGTGATTTATTGTGTATTATGTTAATCTTGCTCATATATTTATTGAATTATATTAAAAATATAATATTATAATTATTTTCATATGTTAACTTTATTAAAACTTGTTAAAAATTGTTAACAATCAAAAATTATAATATTATATCATAAGTATTTTATAGATTATCATATGTTCAGATTATTTAATAATATTTTACTATTTATATAAAATATATATTTTATTACTATATAATAACAACAAAGGTTATTAATACTTTTAAATAGTAATAATTAAATAGTAATTAAATAAACAATGTTAATAAATAATAACAATAAAATAATTTTTTTTTCAGTTATTGTGCTAGAAATTGCATTCTTTCATAATTAAAATTGCTTTTTGTTACAAATTAATTTTAAACAAAAAACTAAAGTAATTGAAGTAAACAAAATAAACATAAAAAAAACATTAAAAACATACCAAAATGTAACAATGCCAATCTAGCATTTAATAAAAATAAACAAAAAAATAATGACCACTATAATAATATTATTATTTAAATTTTCAGAAGCAGCTTTTTAAAAGTCAGCTATTGAAATTAGCCGCCTGTTGGGACTTCAGTACATACCTATGACATTGGGTTTGAACATTTTAAATAAGAAAATAAAAAAATTTTTTCTTTATTTTTTACCCTTTTCTCAAAACTTTAGGTTGATATTCAAAGCTTCCAGAAATATATCAAAATGTGTGACCTTTAGTTGATTAATCTCACAAATATATTTCTGCATATTTATAAGGATAAATTGCAACAATCCTACCATACCATACCATACAAATTATACTGTACTAGTACAGATTATACTGTTGCAAGTTTATAAGATCTTATATATTATCTTATAAAGGTGCAAGAGATTTAAGCCTATTACCAAATAATGTGCCCAAACTTAACTTTTCTGTACTACCATTTTTACAAAAACCAATAGTAATAGCAATTTAACATGCTTACATCTACTCAAACAATGATAACTTATAAATTTACCAATACTAAAAACTGATTAGTGATTAAAACCCAAAAAAGGTTGCTTTAAGCAGGTCCAAAAAAAGTTTCTTCAACCAGTTCAAAAGGTTAAAAAAAGTTGCTTTAAACAGGTTGAAAAGTTTTTGCCTAAAAACGATATTAAATTATTATAAATAGTTATTAATACATACCTGTAAGATTTATGTCTCTATCAATATGTATAAAAGTATCTTTTGCTAAATTAAAACTTGCATTAAATGCTTCTACTTGGGGTAAGAACTCATAGTATAGAGATTGATTCATTTTTTGCACAGCTTGTATAGTATTCTCAAGTAAATCGTATTTTGGAAATGTCTGCATAAAAGTAGTTTGATATATATTACTTACAGTAAGGTTTTCTTGCACATTATTTTTTACTAGAAAAATTGTGTGATCTGAGGTAGATTGATAAACTGCTTCAACATTTTGGAAGATTCTACCTTCAGGTTGAACCCTAGATGGATAAAATCGCCACCCATCATAATTGTAAAATGTAATATTTCCATAAAGATTTGCAATTGATAGAACAAACTCTCCATTTTTACCTTTAATAGATAACATAACCACCATTTAAAAACTGGAGTTAATTTAAGTTGTTTAAAAAATACAAAATTTACATAAAATTATGCCAGTTACATAAAAAAATGTCCACTATTTATGTTTATATTTATAAAAACATTTATAATGGTTTATGTATATAAGGAACACACAGATATATACATATATACTTATATATATATATATATATATATATATATATATATATATATATATATATATATATATATATATATATATATATATATATATATATATATATATATATATATATATATAAATATATAAATATATATAAATAAATATAAATATATATATATATATATATATATATATATATATATATATATATATATATATATATATATATATATATATATATATATATATATATATATATATATATGTATATATATAAACACACACACACACACATATATAGAAACTATATATAGAGTGCTTGCTTGGGGGCAAGACTTTCTGAGTTCAATCATGTCAGGTATTATGATCATGTCTGGTAGTACTGCGTTAAACTTGTGTCTTTGCGCTGTGGCATTATTTGTCAAGATTGGTATTTTGAAGTTAAAGAGTTGAGAGTTGTATCCACAATTTTAAAAGATAAAAATATAAATAGATAAATAGCCTCCTTAACTGATCTTGGCCTTTGGAGGTTAATTAAAAAATTTATCTAGAGCCACTTTTTTCAATATACAAAAACCTTGTCAGTATTTGTTTAAAAATCTAAAATTGAGATTGCAATGATGAGTTATTTTAATTAAAAAGTTTTTAGGAACAATGCTTATTCGTGCTTGTTCTGACATAGAGTTTTTTTGATATAGAACAAAAAATTGCTAAAGAGTACTTGAACAGAAAGGATTTTACTGTTTTTTTAATGAGAAAATTGAGAATCTTTTGTTATATTTGTTTACCTATGTGCATTAAGTAAGTATATAAAATGTCAGACAAATTTCTTGTTTTGTTTCTGATTTAACTTTGTTAAATTGTTTGATACATTCAACCATTTATCATTATATACTTTGAATCACAATTAATATAAGGAGGCAGTTTTTTTTTTATATTTTATTTTTTGTAAAATATTGCAAAAACCATTATAATTTTAGATATTTGTTTTATAAAATGGCTTTTTGTTTAATAAATTTTGAGATTCAAGATAATCTTTGATTATAAAAGCTTTGTTTTTAATACATTTAACTGTTTTTAGTTTATTTTTCTAATCCTTATGCAATTTATTTTTGTACTATAAACTAAATTATGTTTTGCAATATGGTTTATTTATTATTTAGAGCTTCCTATTTAGTTCATTTAAACAAGTTATAACCATGTTAGTATAATTGAATTAGATATATATTCTTATTTATCTTAATTTTATTTATTGAACTTTATTTTTATAAACTATGATTAATAATTAATATTTGTCTATTGTCTGAAAAAATATATTTATATATTTTTAAGTACTTAAGACTTTAAAATCAATAAATAGTTTGTTTAAGCAAGTTACAACCATGTTAGTTAGATTGAATTAGATAATTTTATACATAAGTCTTGCAATAGCTAATCTTAGCTGTCATTTTAATAAAAAAAAACGTTGTTAAATTAACATTGTGGTAGAAATCTTACTTCTATAACTTCTCTATTTATCAATCTCATACAATAAACAAAAGCTAAACGAAAAATATATTGAAATAGTTAATTAAAGTTAAAATTTTAATTAACTAAACCGTAATAAATGGAACAGAATAAAACTGTAGTGCATTAATCTGATTTGACTTATTGAAAATTTAAATACATTTATCATACAAAAGAAGATTAACAAATTGCCACCAGATTTCTAGATTTATCATAAAAATATTGTACTAACATTAGGGTTTTTTTCAAACAACCCACACAACACAACAAGGTGGCAAATGATTACTACTTAAGTTGAGAGTTAACAAAAAACAAAGTAAAAGGTTAAAGAGAAAGAGAAAGGTCTTAAAAGTAAAAGGTTAAAGAGAAAGAGAAAGGTCTTAAAAGTAAAAGGTTAAAAAGAAAGAGAAAGATCTTAAAAGGTTAAAGAGAAGGAGAAAGGTTTTAAAAAATAAAGTAAAAGGCTAAAGAGAAAGAGAAAGAGATGAAAGGTTAAAGAGAAAGGTCTTAAAAATAAAGAGACTTAAAATATGGTAAATAGCCAGGAAAAAATAAAGATGGGAAAGAAATCCAAAGCATTGATGTGCAAGGAAAGAAACTAAATGAATAATCAAGCATAAAGAAATTTATGGTACATTTGTTCAAAAATATAGATAAATAAGGCATATAAGGTCTTCATAACAGTTTGATAAATATAGATAAAAGACTTTTCCACGTATAAGTGTTTAATCTGTTGCATTTATTCACCACTGGCCATATAATGTTAGTTACTCACCTTTTACATTGCCTGACTGAAAAGATATATTTCCAAACAATACATACAGACTGCAGAATAATACAATGTGCAGCAATTACCTTTAATAGCTGTCCATTTCTTAGCACCATAGGTTTTAACACATTGAAAAGGAACAAATAAGTTCCAACTCCATTTATAGATAACTGAATCAATATCATATTTTTTTTGTCCATTAGGTAAAACTTTTACAAAATTAGCTACAGCAAGAAAAAATTCAGTTGATACTCCTTCTCCAATACTAAAAAATTCCCAATCAACAGCACCATCAGTTCTCAACTTTTGAAAGCTTTGAAACCTATTAAACGTAACATTTAAAACATCAAATATTTTTTAATTCAATTTTTAGCTTATTCAATGTAAAAATTACCTGGAAGTAAACAGATTGTAAATATATACTTCAGAATCAAGATGGTTAATACTCTGGTCATTTATGAAATTTGCAACAGCAATATATTGGATATTGTGGATTGTAAAAGCTTCAATATCAAGAGCCCCTGCAGTGAACAGGTTTTCACCAGGTGTCAATGATAATCCAACTCCATCCCATTTATAAAAAGTAGGTTTAGTTAT